CCCGCGCGCGGCGGGGGGGGGGGGGCCGGTCTGCATGTGGGATCCGAACCCTCAGACGGGAGGGCCGCTGCGCTTCCCAAGCCGCGCACCATCCAGTGCGCCACCGGGCCAGCCCTGGCAGTTTCTTATAAAACTAAACATATTCTTACCATACAGTCCAGCAATTGCCCTCTTTAGAATTTACCTAAAGGAGCTGAAAACTTATGTCCACACAAAAAAAACCCTGCACACTGATTTTTATAGCAGCATTTTCGTAATTGCCCAAACTTAGAAGAAAGCAAGATGTCAATGCATGAATAGACAAACTGGGTCTGTTTTTTAAAGGGTATTTCGTATTTTTACTGTTAAATTGAACATCTTTTCCCTTATTAATTGATCATTTACAATTTTAATTTTGTAAATAGCCATGTTCACCCCCTTTGCAGATTTTTCTATTAGTTTCTTCTTACTCTTAAAAAATAGTGCCCTTGGGCCGGCCCGGTGGCGCACTGCTATAGTGCGCCGCTTGGGAGCGTGATGGCGCTCCCGCCGAGGGTTCGGATCCCACATGCAGACCGGTTCCCGCTCACTGGCTGAGCGAGGCGCGGGAGCAACACCGAGGGTTGCGATCCCGTTGCCGGACACGGAAAAAGACAAAAAAGAAAAAAAAAAATAGTGCCCTTAAAAATTAAATAAGACACTATATCAAAAATTTAAACGCACATGCACTTTGATCAGTTTGATGCGTGGTACTTTACCTAGAAATATACTCGTAAAGGAATGTAAATGTATTGGATGGTGTTCCCTACATCATTGCTTATAAAGAAAAATATAACCTAAGTATACATCAAAAGGTTAACTAACTTATAGTACAAGCATACAATGAGATACTATTTAGTTGTTAAAGAGTAAGTTGATATCGAAAGACTTCCAAGCTATCTTAAGTGAAAAAGCTAAGATGCAAAATTATATCGTGATTCCATAAGTGTTTGAAAATATATAGACACATACTTATTCACAAAACAAAATGTTTACTGAGTGCTGCTATGTGGCAGGTAGTGTCCTGGGAAGATACACTCAACATATTAACAATGGTTAACTCTGGGGAGTGAGACACTTTTCGTTTTATTATCCTTTTGCAACTTGAATTTTTACTGTGCATACATAACCTGTATACTTAAATAATTCGTACTGCTTGCTGTATTGTAATTATTTATAGATCTGTGAAGACCCCAAAGACAGAGATTCTGCTTTGTATTTACCATCCTGTTGGTTTTTAGTTGAAATTATTTACGTGAATCATTGGTGTACCTGGGACGTGCTTGGCCCCCTTCCGGGTGGGCCTGGGGTCCGGCTGCAGAGAGAGGCCCTGCCCGGGTGGGAGGTGGCAGCGGGGGTCCTCCCGGCGCACCAGAGAGACGAGCGGCCGCGCTCCTAGAGAGGCACGGAGCCGGCCGGACTCCGCCACTCGGCTGCCGGAGCGGCGAGGCAAGAAGCCCTCGGCCCCCAGCCCGGCTTCCTTGAGCGCCTGCGAGAACCGCACGCCCCGCGAAGCTCCGTGGCCCGGGCTCGGGGGAGACCTGCCGGCGCCTCCGTCTGTGGAGCCTCGGCCCCCGCACTCCCGTGGGAGCCTTCTCGGAGATCGGTCACGTCTTGCTTGTGCATGTTCCCTGAACTTTTAGTCTATTAACCAGCAGTTAGACCCGCACTTCCGAGTACCCACTGTGTGCCAGGCGCTGTGCTAGGTGTCGGGGTGCAATCTTGGTAAGATACGTCTGGGCCTGCTGGTGCATTCATCAGAAGTCCACCACTACTTGCCGAGTACCAGGTACGTGCGGGGCTTATAGAGTCTGTGCAGAAATAAGCCTCTGTCCTCAAGGAGCAGGGGTTGGCGGGCCGCGGGGGGGAGGGGGGGAGTTGGGGGGGCGGTGATCTGTAATACGAGATGGAGAGAGAGGGGCATGGGTACAGTTTTCCACCGGAACGCCCCATCTCCACCTGTGTGGCTTGGAGGACAGAACAGTTTTCTTTCTCTGTATGTTAGGTTTGGGGGTGGCCAGGGAAGGTTTTACCTAGGAGGTGACAATTGCACTGAGCCTTGGGAATTTACCTTTAGAAGGGCGGTCTTGGCCGTGAAATACAAGGTGGGTGGAAAAAAATTGAGGAGTCAGCACGGCAGTGACATGAGGATTTGGGGAAGACCATGGCTTTCTTGACGGTATGTCTTTTATTCCGGAGTTAGCTTTATGCCTGGAAACGATTGAGAGGCTCAGTAAATGTTTATTGACTGACAAACCAGTTAAACCCAGTAAGATCAGATCCTGGGGAGTTTGAATTTGGAGGTATGTTGAATATGGTCAGAATTATGCTTTAGGAAATATTAATCCAGTGATGATAGAGGAGGGGGTTGGGCAGGAATACCACCCAGAAAATGATTGTAAGAGCGAATGAAATAAAGGAATAAAAGGAATAAAAGACTAAAAGGAAGGAATGGCTGCAGGAGGCATTTCGGAGGAAGAATTGACTAGACTCAGGGTGATAGTGTACAGGGGATGGTTTTAAGCTCGAATGCATGGGAGATGGTGGTGACGCCAATAGAAATGCAGAAATACAGAGTGAGTGCAGCTTTGTGGGGACTCAGATTTGAGTTCGGGATGTGTTGAAATTATGGTGCAGGAGAGGCCCACAGCTACTGGCATTTCAGGCTGTGAGTCTGAGGTGCTAAAGGTAAGTGGAGGCAGACAGAGGTTTGAGTGTTCTTGGAATAGAGATATGTTGAAATTGTGACTAATAAAATCACAAAAGGAGAAAGCAAAGACAGTGAAAAAAAGAACTTCATGTGTGTCTACCATTTCTCTTGTTGCATAAAAAACAAATTAAAACCCCAAACTCGGTGTCCGAAAACAACTTCAGCTTATTATTTCTCAGGATTCTGTGGGTTGACTGGGCAGTTCTACTTCTGGTCTCACCTGGAGTTACTCATATAGCTGGTGAATCATCTAGGCAGTAGGCCCACCTAGGCTTTAGCTTGGGAGCCTTGGCTCTCATCCATATGTCCTCTCTGCATGGCTAGCTTGGGCTTCCTCACAGCATGGCAGTCTCAAGGTGGTGTGCCAAGAGCTACAGAGGTGCTTCTTCTTATGGTGTCATTTCTGCCATAGTCTATTGGTCAAAGCAAGTCACAGGCCAGCAAAGATTCAGGAGAAGGAAAAATGGATTCCACCTCTTGATGAGAAGATTGGCAAAATATCATCACAAAAGGTATTTGGGGATGGTCAACTTTGGAAATAGTCTACAATACCTATATATAAAGTGTAATATTCAGTGAGAGATACACAGAAATGGATGACCTTTGAGATTATAATTTTTGCCCATGAGGGTAGCCATCTGATTCCTCCATAGGTAAAATTATCTTTTCTCCCCATCCAAAGTGTAAGCTGCTCAACCATTCTTATTGTTTACCTTTCTTCCCTCATATCCTACGTCTCTGACTTCTGGACTTAGCCGTGTTAGTGTTCAGGATATATTTCTGATTCATTTACCAGATGGTAGAGGCGAACAGGCTCAGCTTTTGAGCATGACCCACAGTAGGGACAAAAATATAAGTATGTTACATAGAATTTTGAAGCTCTTGTAATTTGCATGTTACTGATCAATTCTTATGCCTCAGATTTACATTTGGAAAAACATTTGTGAAGCATATGCCTCAGCTAAGTAAACCTTTTTTAAACCTCTAAGCTCAACATGTATGAAGCTTTGCCAGGCCCTGTTCCTGAAAATGAAGATGGCCTTGTGAAAGTAAAAGAGGAAGATCCCGCCTGGGAGCCGGTGTGCAAATTACAGGAGAGCAGCCCCCACACTCAGGAGCTTTGCCGCCTGCGCTTCCGGCAGTTCTGCTTCCATGAGGCTCCTGGGCCCCGGGAGGCTCTGACCCAACTCCGAGAACTTTGCCATCAATGGCTGAGGCCAGAGGTACACACCAAGGAGCAGATCTTAGAGCTGCTGGTGCTGGAGCAGTTCCTGACCATCCTGCCGGAGGAGCTCCAGGCCTATGTGCGGACGTATACTCTGGAGAGTGGGGAGGAGGCAGTGACAACACTGGAGAATCTAGACACAAGACGTGGAGACACAGGACAGCAGGTGGGAAGAGAATGTGTTTGGTGGTGTAGGAGAAGAAATGGGGAATGTGTACATGTTAAATTTTTAACTTTTTATTTTGAAATAGTTTATAACTCATAGAAGTACTGAGAGAGTAGTTTTTTTTTTTTTTTTTTTTTTAAAGTTGACCGGTAAG